CAGAAGGAAAACTGGGTTCGAGCCGCGCGGGACAGGGAAACACCAACAAACGCGAATCAATGGTTCCTGACAGGACAGTACGAGTTTACAGTAATTTCTTTCAAAGTGTCACGATTCGCCTCGTTCGAACTGGCGCAAAGTTATCCCCGTCGCACAGAACGAAGCAAAATGGCATTTTTCAAAGTAATGAATATTGTTGATTATAGAATTTCTTGATTAAGGCTTCATTCAAAAATTATTAGCAAAATTAAATAAACAAATTTCAAATCATTCTGAAAAAATTATTTTCGGTTGCGGGGTTCAGTTACAACCATTTTTTATGAATAGACATACCCTCAAAATCCTAAGCACTTTCCAGAAAAAAATTCGAGTAAGTTCCTTTTTTCGGCGAAAAAATGTTTTTTCAAATCGTTCTGGAAAATTTATTTTTAGCCGCAGAGATCAATTGTGATCATTTTTAGTGAATAGACATACACCCGAAATCCTACGCACTTTTGAGAAAATAATTTATTACCGAAAATATAATATCTGACCAGAAATGATCTGAATTTCGAAAAATTATTTTCGGTTGCAAGGGTCGATTGCAATCATTTTTTGTCATTACACATACCCCCGAATTCCTACCCACTTTCGAGAAAAGAAATTCATTAGCGAAAATCTGATGTGAGGCGAGAAATGCTTCCGTGAAATTTCATGCGAATCTTTAAAATGTCATAACTCCTGAACGGATTGGAGGATTTTAATGTTTCGAAAGACAAACAACGCGTATATTAGTGGAGAATATGTAGATATTCCAAGAATATTCGAAAAGTTGTTCCTTGGTCCCTTAAAGTGAGAAAACCACCATAAAAATGGTCCAATTTTCAAACGACCATAACTCCTACAATAGTAAGTGAATCTCATTGAAATTTTTGGGGGAAGTGGAGCTCACAGGTATCTACAAAAAAGTATTAAATAACTTTACTGTATGGCGTCAACCAAATTTATTAAAAATCAAAAACGAAGTTTTAAGAAAAATCGACAGGTGGTAGCTGCATAAATTTTTCGGCAACATTGAAAAGTCTTAAATCATTTTGGAAAAATTATTTTCGATTGCAGGGGTCAATTACAATTATTTTTGGTGAATACACATACCCCGAAATCCTACGTACTTTCAAGAAAAAAAATCTTTCTGTGCAAAAATGACCGAAATGCGAATAAAATGAAGCAAAATGACATTTTTGAAAGTAACGAATGTTGTTTAAATGAGTTGCTATATCATTAGTTAATTGTTCAAGGTACAAGAAATCATAAAAATTAACGAGAAAAGTAGTTTTATGTCAACTTTTATTCATTGAAATGATTTGAAAGGTAATGAGAATTGATTGAGTCTGCCGTTAATGTGTACACTTTGGAACTCCATTTTTGATTGAAAATGGTACTTCTGGTGATCGTATAATGAGATAGTAGCATCAGTATTACTTTCCTGATCCTGTTTAAGAACATGCAGAGCTTAAGGATTACAATTTGGCGAAGAAAAATCAGTTTAACTAACTTTCATTCTCATTATAAAAAACAGCAACACGGATACACATGCTTGTTTTGCATGGGAATGATTTATGAATATGTCTACGTTAATATTCGAAAAGAAAATCTTGCAGAAGTTTGCTGAAGAAAAAGAAAATCGTGATTTAAGTGTAAGAGACTTGTTCTGAATTTATTACGTTGGTGTTCGCATTTTGCATAGTTGCAATTAATTCTGAATTTGTACTATCAAAAATATTTTCAATCTGATCAGCAATTAAATGTACACATACGTATAGAGTTATTGTTTCCAATAAATAACATTGCAACGTTATTAGCTGCTTCATTCAGATCCTTATATTTCTCTTTCTGATACAAACTTGAAAAAAACTAAAAATAAGATATCATCTGATGTTTGGATAATGCTGTTAGAAACTAAATCGTTTTTATGCAAAATTGTTTCTCTCCGTTCGTTGCAAAGTCGAGCTTAGTTCGCTTGCATTTAACAGATCGTAGTTATCGAACGAATTTCATTATCTAACATTGCATTTCAAACGACCTTGGGCTCTGGTCTCCCTATAACCAATCATGCTCCCACCTGCGTGCCTTATTTAATTTACGAGTACATTATACCTCTTCCACCGACTTATCGATGATACCATTAAGATATCGATATTATTACTAAGTGTTATAACGCAATAGAGAGTTCATAAGCCCGTTAACGGTTGCTAACGACGTCAGCGTGAACTATTTTGCAGACCCTTGATTTTCATCCTATCTTAAAGGCCCTGTGTATTGTTAAAAAACATAACTTTCAATTTACAACTTCGAAGTGAATGGATTACGAGTCTATTCAGCCATCAAACGAATAACCTACAGCAATTTCATGCAATATTAACCATTAGAATGCACTATTGTCTAAAAATGATTCCACCGTTTAAACCGAACATATTATTAATTCTCGTATTGCGTTTGACAATATCTTGCAGTTTCCAAACTATCGCGCTCGAGACGTTCAGACTGCAATCCGACGGACGGGAAACTGGAAACTCGCTCGAAGTTAATTTTAAATAAATTTGTTTTACAAATACTTCGCGAAAAATGACGCACACGGTTGTTTGTTCATCGCGGTCTACATCCGTCGTTGTAAAATCGTGGCACTAAAAAGTATAAATTAAACAAGAGTAAGGAAATAGCGGCGTAACAGCTTCGAAGAAAGCTATTCTAAACTTGTAAATTAAAACTCGTAATTTATTAGTATATTAATTCGTATTATCTAGAATTAACAATTTCTAGCAACACGATTGTAACAAAATGATTGAAACACTTGCTTCTTCCTAATATCATCCAATTTTCTCAAGCACCCCATCAAACATAATTGAAAAAATAGCCAAATGCCATTACAGCGAGTTCAAATCGATAGATTAACTCGGTTCAAACCAGTTATGGTTCAAGAAATCCCTTATTGAATTAATTTATTTCCAGCTATGCTAGAATAATTTTGCATCTTTCAAACCACAACCAAATAACTTTCCTCCCTTAGAAGATAGCACAAACTATTCTCGATCAATGCAATTGTTCACCCGAAATTCGAATAACGAATAAAACGAACACAAACAACTACGCATCCCACGCTGGTTACATGAAAATACAGGGTGTTCCGCACATTTCCGTATACACTTCAGCAGTTCTATAAGTAAAACTAAGACTAAAATGTTATATAAGAAAAAATCTAGAAATGCTTGTTAAGAACTTATGACAAAAATATGAACTGTGAAACTCGGTTGAGATTCAGCACATTAAAATAAGAAAAAAAATTTATAATAAAATGAAATCAATCGCAAGCATTCGATATCGTGAGTTTCTTTGCAATTTACTAAACATAAACTTGAACAATAAAATTTTATGGCAACAAAAAGTTAGCATCGAAGAAAGAATACTTCAGATAGAAGATAAACGATAGAAACTAAACTCTGATGAAGAAATGTTTAAAAATATTTGTTCGTGCCTCGACTAGCAGTTGCTCTCTTCAAACAAAATGTTAGTAAATTTGTTTGTTCAGTGAAAAAAAACATCACATTTCATATTTTTCTCATAACTTCTTAACAAAGCATTTATGAATTTTTTGTTATATAACACTTTAGTCTTAGTTAGACGAGTCAGAGTCGTTATTGTACGACAAGAGGTTTAGGGGGGAAATCACTGTGATGGATTGAAAATATTGATATTTTTTTTTGATATCTTTTCAATGTTTTAGAGATGAGCTCGTAAAATATTAAAGTAAAATTCCCAAAAATAACAAAATTACAGAAGATTTAATAGATGTAGAACATACTACATATATAGTATGTGTAACGCTTGAAGCTAACTACATATTCTTTATTTCGAGGGATTCATTTGCAACTCTTATTATTTCTGCTGTGGTAAAGGTTTCATATGAATGGGAAGTGTTTTGGAGTTTTATGTTTGGAAGAGATAACTATGTGAATCAAGAGTATTTAGTCTAAAGTGATAAGTGGTGTGAATCAAATGTACCGATACATGACTAAAGTGCTCCAACTGGCAACTTATTTAGCCGTAATCCAATTTAACGATGGCTATTCAGGATTATTACAAATAATAAAGGTCCTCGATATTAAAATTGGACCACAGGCAAACGCATATCGACGCAAACAGGGCACGCTTCGGCTTTCTGTTGCTCAGCGAAAACACAAAACAGCGACGCATGCCGTTCGGTTGAAGGAAAAAGGAGATATAAATGAAGGAGATGACGATGATCTTTCTACAGAGGATACGTTTTAGGGTCCTGAAGTGGATGCCCTTTAGAAAGTTTAAAAACTCCAACGTTATTTCACAGATAATTTGGTGCAAAACTTGTTTTACTCAAAATCACATTTTTCAAACTGGGCGGCTCAATAACTCAGTCACTTTTCATCCGATTTACTTAAAATTTTGTATGGTGATTCCTAATACTATTCTCTTCAGTTGCATTTACGGAATTTTCGATCGAATAATTAGTTTCGACGTGGTGTTAAAAGAAATATTGATTTTGTCACGGTGTTCGAAGATTCTTCCTTCAAACTTCCACCATTTTATAATAAACAATTATTTTTTTAAATCCGGTACCGAAGCTACCGTCTTAAAGTTTAAGAAAATTGCATGTTTCACAACTCGCAGTAGAAAATTACACGTCCACCCGTTTCTAACAAATTTTAGAAGCCCTCTCACGCTGGTTCCTACTATGTCTATAATAATTAATATTTTTATACGAAATTATTACAGGAAGTTGTTCAAGAAACGTACTTTCGAAAAACATTAAACATTTATCAGAAAAAGTTTCATAGTTACGGCCTAAAAATTCTTGAAAATTGCTTTTCACCGTGGTTTCCTCCCTTAATACAAACAATAGAAAGTAATTTTATTTCACCGACCAGTAAAATACCGTACTCGCGATCGTTTCAGTTTCCTGTAACCTAAGGACGGGACAAATATCATACCTTGACCAGTGGTGGACTGTGCGCTGGTGGATGATAGTGTCCCGAAGAAGGGCTCGCGGGCGGCCCCGCGCCCCCGGGCGAAATGGTACCGCCTCCGGGGGTGAGAATCCTGGACTCGTGGCTGAACAACACTTTCCTGATTTCCTCCGCACCCTCGCGGACCACCGTCGACCTACGGAGCCGCTTTTTTCGACCGAAACGATCGTGATCTCCACAATCTACCTGAACCGCGCGATCCCGTGAAGCCTGATCACTGTCCGAGTCTGAAAGCACGACTCGAGAGTCTGTCTCGTTCCTCACTGGCACCGGTTGTCGTCGAATAATTCGACGAACGAGCAGTTTACCGTCGACACTCGTGAAACATCGGACTAGCGTTGCTCGATCTCGCCCGTCTTCGAGCGCGCCGATTTTTAAACACAGGCTCGTGGCTAACTCTTGAAGGGTAGTCTTGGGTATCCTTCGGAGTAATACCGTTTCAACGATCCTCGAAAGTCTATCTAGAGTCTACAGTAGAGGCAGAAACTTCAGAGTCCAGAAACGGAAGAAGGAGAAAGAGTACGGTTCCTGGAGCCAACCGATCGCGGTCGAAGAGGACACAATCGAAGGCATAATCTTGCTCGAGCCTCGACGAAGGAAACACGTTCTACTTCCGCCACTGGGGTTCCCCGATCCTTCGTGAATACATATTCGGGGTAAAATTCCTTCCTCGGTTAGGATCCCTGTCTGACCAGGTTTTCAGTAAACGATCGAAGAGAAACTTCCACTCTGGAACGCGTCCGGTTGAGAGTAAAACTATCACTGATCTCGAGTCTGACAGTAACCGTGAATCGCGGGTATATCGTGGAGGCCGACAAAACCGGAGGTATCGCGTTCGAACCGTCCAAGAAGGTCCCAGCTGGATTGTGTCGCGTTCGGTGTCGCGTTAGACAGCCGTGGAAAGCGTGCTCGATAGGCGGAACCACGCAGGCGTCGAGCAGCTCGCGAGGCGTGGTCTACGATCTCTTCTCTTTATTCGACCATAGCTGGCGATCGTCTCTCTACGACGTTCCGTGCGGGGATGGTGGAGCCACCACGTGGTTTTATTGGCCAAATAACGCGTACGACAAACATCCCTGCTTCTGTGCGGAGTGTCTCCCTGTGTTGTAACTCACCCTCGCTCTGGCTACGCGTAGCCCTTTGGACGAGAGGAGAGGCAATAGTCGTCATGGTGTAAATCGTGTTTACCCCTCGTCCATAGTGATTCTCGTGTGTATCAGCTACCGACGCTCCACCTCGAGTTATATCCTCTACGCTCGGCTCGCCGCTTCGTTCTACGCTCGTTTTCCTTTTATCGCTTTTTCTTTCGCCTTCTCTCTTCTCTTCCGCGACACGCTTGTCCTCGAGGCGGTTACCTCCTCCCGGCTGTTTCTTGGACGCCGCTACGCGATACGCGTTTCAACCGTGACGTTTGGCTACCAGACGGATTCGTCACTTCTCTAACCTACGAGCTTCCACCGTAATACAAACACCTTTTGTTTCTTCGCGGTTCTTGCGCTCGCGTCTTCTTACGTCAGTCTTAACGTTTACTATTGGACATACATAGATGGTGGAATGAAAATAAAACATACAGTTCAAATATCTTTTTAAATTAAACTTTGTCTTTATTTGAAACGCTTGGAAGGGCGCATCTGTTCAATTCGAAAGAAACTGCCAGAATGAAGAAAGGTCAATGACACCGAATCGGTCCTATTCGTTGTCTGAATAAGCCAAGGAAAAGACACGGCTGCACCCTCTTGACTTGTGTCTCGAAAAATGAAACGCAACACGTACGTCGATGGTTTTTGTGAATAAAAGAAAACTTTCTCTTTTTGAAAGAGACAAACCAACGTTTTCGAAGGATCCGGCGGCGAAGACGTTCCACCGATATTCGTTAAATTGTTGAGAATAAGCATTGCATGCATATATTTTTAATGAAAATTTTTATCCTTTGATGCAGTCCCTTGCAAAGGTCAGTACTACATGAGGAGGACACTCGTTTATTGCACCCCCTGAGCGTCTCATTTTTTTTAACCAACCCTCAAGCTCAGTCAGCAGAAAACCATCAAGCTAAGAACAGCATTTTCGTTTTGTAAAACTACATACTTGAGTCGAAACTCTGTCGTATTTATTTAGCAAATAAACATTCAACACAAATATTCTACCAAAATAGACTATAGGAAGTTCTTTTTTAAAGAAAAAACTGGGTTGTTCGTAAAGTAGTTTCGTTTTCTTATCAACAGAGACGTTAATTGTATTTTCAACCAGCCAACATTATTCTAAATCATATTCTTATTATATATTTTCACAGTTGACACTTCATGGCGTGTTTGTAAAACATTTTGTTCGATTGTATTTTTTTGGTATCCCGTCAAATATGAAAAATCAAAGATTTTTTTATTACAGAAAAGGTAAGAATGCTGTTCGAGCAAGAATACAATTTTGTGACGTGTATGGAGATATTTTAACAGAATGGCAGTGTCAAAACTCGTTCGCAAATGTTTTCGTTCGAACGAGCTGTTTTTGGTTTGTCAGACTTTCGTTTATCACGAACAGATCCAGTTTCATCAAATATTTTAACCAAATTTCGAATTGTTTGCTCAGATGGACGATTATGTATAAAAAATCACGTATGTAATTTACGATGGGTATTTTTTATTGAACACTGATTTTCAAAATAAATTTTAATAACTTTAACACGCTCTTCGATCGTATACAACTCCATTGTTGAAATTGTCTATCATTGTAGGTTAGAAATAAAAGAAAGTGAAAAGGAACGAACATGGCGTTTGACAGATATTCTCATTCAACATCCTAAAGGTACTTTTGGATAACCTTGTATCTCGACCCTTGGTCATTTCCAACGCGTTCGAAATCTAGCTTATTTGTACCCACTAGACCTTATTTTTGATTATCGAAATTTTTATGGATAACCTCTTGATTTGGATTTGTTCAACTTGATAAAAAAATAATTTCTGCAAAAGGGAATGTCAATAGTACAATGGAAAAGGGTGGCACAGTTGTTAAAAGTTTGGGAATTTCTGTAATTTTACTCCAATTCTATCTGTAACACTATTTTAAAATTTCGCTTTGAAACACGTTGCAAGAATATTTATTCTAACTTGATTCTTTTCACCCAGCTTTCGAACCGTCTGAACATTCTATGGAAAAAGGTTAAAATTCTTTATCAATATCTTCTGTAGAGATCGTCGTTCATTTTCTAACTGCGTCGAGGGTTTTCTTGCTAGCGTTTCTGACCGTACCGTCTCAATATGGATCGAGACGTTCATGGTCTACCTGTACGTCTTCGTTCCGTAGTCGACCCCGATTGCTAAAATCTCTGAACCATGCTTCTTATTGCAGGGGCAGAAGGCGCTTATCGAATTTTATTTATTCTCCGAAACTCTCGTTACGTTTGGACGATAGAATGTCGATTTTTAAAATAAAGTTGCACTATCTGATAGCGATAGTTGGCCCTCGACTAGTTAAAGTACACTTAATACATGAAATTAATGTTCTAACCTAATAAGCATTATATCATTAACAATAACAAATAGTTAGTGAAACAAGAATACCACGCTAGAAGAATATATGTTCTTCCTATATAATGGTTCAATCGTAATCAATTTAGAATCCCGCAGAGAAGAATGTTCGAAAATTGATGGTTCGGTTTCGTAAAGGAAAATCATTCCATAAATATCATACGTATATAAATCGATGGCAGTTAACTGGATATTTTCGATAGAAGCTGTATCAAATAGGGTGGACAGGGTATGAGATTCCCGACTATGTAGTTACGCTTAGTACATGTATTCTGTGTGCACCGTGTACATAGTTCGAAAGCATGGCGTGGTGTAATCTAGTCACCACGAAACAAGATTATTCTCCTAACTCAGCGTCTAGCTCTTTCTCTCCCTTGTTCCCTCTCCCTTTCCCGATTTCTTCCTTCCACGTTCTTCAATTGCTTCAGTCGAGTTTCAGTTTCGCTGCCTCCAACAATAAATACTCGCCCCCCACCTTCGTAACTACCCTTATTTTCGCGTTCACCTTGTATCCCGTTTCGTCGTTCCGCCGTTGATATTCTACTCGTGGTTATCTTTACATTTCCGTATCAGTAATGTGTTTACCGGAACGCTAGAATTTCGATAGCAATGTTTCCCCTTCGAATCAATGACATCCGGCAGTGTTTTCCTATCGCATCGACTTATGTGCGCTCTCAGGCATCGAAAATCGTAGTATCCCCGAAGGGTTGGAAGAATCGAATAGAAAGAGAATATATGGACAAGGATAAGTGCGTGCTCGACGTTGCTATTCGACTCGAAACCGTCATTCGGCGATGCTTCTACGTTTTTGCGAGCGATATACGAGAATCTTGAATTCCGGGCAAAGTGCGATTCGATAGGGGATGAAATTGGAGTCGATCAAACCCGGGGAAATCGCGGAAAAATCGAGACACCTGATTTCTTCTATCAGATTGCATTCCTATCCGTTTCTTTCTCCTATAATTTTTATTTATTCGTGTGTTCTTAGAAAACTTGTTCGAAACTGCGATAACCTGATGAATATACAGGGTGTTCGGCCACCCCTAGGAAAAATGTTAATGGGAGATTCTAGAGGCCATAATAAGACGAAAATCAAGAATATCAATTTATTGACTGACATTTCGTTAAAAAGTTATTAAAAAATTAAATTAAAAAATTTCAAATCATTCTGACCAAAATTATTTTTAATTGCGGAGGTCAATAATTTATTACCGAAAATATAATATCTGACCAGAAATGATCTGAATTTCGAAAAATTATTTTCGGTTGCAAGGGTCGATTGCAATCATTTTTTGTCATTACACATGCCCCCGAAATCCTACCCACTTTCGAGAAAAGAAATTCATTAGCGAAAATCTGATGTGAGGCGAGAAATGCTTCCGTGAAATTTCATGCGAATCTTTAAAATGTCATAACTCCTGAACGGATTGGAGGATTTTAATGTTTCGAAAGACAAACAACGCGTATATTAGTGGAGAATATGTAGATATTCCAAGAATATTCGAAAAGTTGTTCCTTGGTCCCTTAAAGTGAGAAAACCACCATAAAAATGGTCCAATTTTCAAACGACCATAACTCCTACAATAGTAAGTGAATCTCATTGAAATTTTTTTGAAGTGGAGCTCACAGGTATCTACAAAAAAAGTATTAAATAACTTTACTGTATGGCGTCAACCAAATTTATTAAAAATCAAAAACGAAGTTTTAAGAAAAATCGACAGGTGGTAGCTGCATAAATTTTTCGGCAACATTGAAAAGTCTTAAATCATTTTGGAAAAATTATTTTCGATTGCAGGGGTCAATTACAATTATTTTTGGTGAATACACATACACCAGAAATCCTACGCAGTTTCGTGAAAAAAATTCTTTATCAAGAATATAATGTCTGACCATAAATGAAATTTCATGCCAAATCCCTTTCATGCAAATCTTTAAAATGTCATAACTCCTGAATGGATTGGACGATTTTGATGTTTCAAAATGCAAACAATGCGTATTTTGATGAGGAATTTGTGAAAATTCAAAAAAAAAT